TGCAGATATGGTTTTGTTTAGGGATCTGTGCCTTTGTGCATGCGGACATCTGACTGCTGAGTAGTGATTGTGTTTTTCAGCAATAGTGTGCACCCTTCATTTACAGAGAAAAGAAGGTCAGGGAAAAATCTGTAGATGGAAAAATCTCCATACAAGTTCTTTGTGCATTTTTCTTTTTTTTGTACTTGTTACTTTGCACTTTTTGTTAAAACATTTTTATTTACTATTTATTCAGGTTTTTTTAAGGTATCTAATATTTTGATATTTAATTTCCATGATCTAAATATTCTTAAAAATTAAAAGTTTGTTGTCATTTGGAAGCGTGTAGGCCCTTCTTGCATTATTATGCTATTACATTATGATTATATATTCAGTGGCATAAAATGGTCTTTAAAATGACAATAATATCGCTTATCGCAATTACTTCTGGGGCAATATATCGCACAACAAAAAGTTGTTATCGTGACAGGCCTAGTAATTAATACAGACCCTCTCATCTCCCAATAGTAAGACAATAGTAAGACTGCCAGTAACAATAGTAGAAAGTTACTGGCAGGTGAGTTTGATCAAGGTTGGAGGTAAACTCTGCAGGAAAGTGGACCTCGAGGGCCAGAGTTGAGAACCCCTGTTCCAACAGCTACGAGCACTGTGTACCTTACACAATAAACAATGCTCATACTGAATGACACACAGTTTATGCTTTTTACACTGCACTTAACATCAAATTATCATCTTTTTAAAGCTCGCTTTTAGAGAAACTTAATTTGAGGAAAAATGAAAATGTCAAGCATTGACAGAAAATGTTTTATTCTTACAGTTATGGTCCAAAAAATGTCTATTCAGGACAAATTGGATAGTCAGTAATAAATAAGTCTGATGTGCAGGAGTGAGACAAGCCATTGTTTAAACAGCAATCAGTGATATTGACACCGCAAATGTGAAAATAAGAAAGTTAACCCTGGGTTTACGATTGTACAGTACAAAGCCTGAATAACCAGGGTTATTTCCTAACCCAGCGCAAAGAATGAAAATGTGTGAAACAAAATATCATAACCCAGGTTTCCTATAACCGGTGTTAACAATGTTAAGTGTCTAAAGCCCTATATAATTTTAGCATAACTGCAGTTCCACATTTTTTTGGATATACTATGTATTCAACAGCAGATGCTGCGCTATTAATGATCTTTTGTTTGTAACGACTGAAGCTGAACTTCAGTCAACACCAATGTTCCCTCAAAATTTTTTTCTTGATGAGCAAAACTTTTCTCTATTGGGCGGACATTTCGGCCACCTGAGCAAAAACATTCTTTATATCAGAGCTGTACAGCGCGCACACAAAAAAAGTGTGTAACTTTTAACTTTAATGTGCTATTTGTATTTAATTTGACCCATGTGGTTACCTGAGAATTTTTTTTTTTTTTTTTTTTTACAGTATAATACACTGCCATTCAAAAGTTTGGGATCAATAATGTTTATTAAAGAAGTTTCTTATCTGAAGGATCATGTGACACTTTATACTGGAGTAATGATGTTGAAAATTCAGCTTTGCTTCACGGGAATAAATTATATTTTAAAGAATATTAAAATAGGAAACCAATATTAGAAATTGCAAAAATGTTTCACAATATTACTGTTTTTTTCTGTATTTTCGATCAAATAAATAGGCCTACATCCTTGATGAGCATAAGAGACTCCATTAAAAGACAAGGTCAATTATTTATTAGGTTTATAGGCCTAACATAATATAATATCAAAACAAACTGAAGCATTTAAACTGATAGAATAGAATAGAAAACAAACTGAAGCATTTAAACTGAGATCTGTAAGTTAAATATTTTTTAAAAATGTGAACGTGAATTGTTCTATAGCCATCTAAACATCCCTATGAAGCACAGTTTGCACAATACACCTGTGTGTGACTGTCGTGCTTCCACATTGGTTCGCTTGCCTGGTCCGAACCCAAGTTCGATTGCTCCCCCCTCCCCCTGTCCCCGCTGGACTCCGTTCATATTATTTTATTTGGGTGGGAACCGTGGTTCGTTTGCGTCATCAAGCCAGCAGCTGTTTACCCCGTTGCTTAGTAACGACGGCGCAGGAGAAGGCGGCAAATGCATAACATTGCTCTCTGCACTTTTATACATTTACGTTTTTGAACCGTTCGTTTCGTTTACAAAGCTTCGGTACATAACGGCTTCACCGGTTCTAACTCTATAGCGATATCAACTCTATAGCGGTTTACCCGAGCACTGCAATTCATTCGCTTTCGCAAATGGCTTTCCCAACTCATTTATGCGTGTGCTCGGCACATTATTTCTTCTGCGCGGCTGCGCACGCGAGCAGCTTAGAGGGAACATTGGTCAACACTCTAGTATTGTTAATTCTGTTTACTTTTCCAAACACTAGCCTTGGATACTTAGGCCCTTAATGAAGTGAGTTCATGTGAAGGTGTGTGGTGGGGTGGGGGGCAGCTTCCTGAAAGGAAGCGTGCTCAGCAGATATGCTATTTCCTTTTTGGATAGTAAACAGAGTTATTTTAGTTACAATCAATGTCTTTTATATTTTGGGAAGAAAACGATTTCTTTTAAGTTTCTTTAAAGTAGACATATTATATTCACAAGTTTAAATAGTCTAGCCAGACAAATATGAGCATGCCATGACACGTCTCTAAAATGGTCCTAATGCCCACTCGAGGAACTGAAATATACATATATAGAGAATAGAGTCATTCAGTCAGTGGGAGAATGATTTTGTTTATGTTGTGAGCCAGTAAACACAATAGCAGGAGTGAATATGATGAATAAACATTCTTACTTCTGTATGTCGGTGATAAGCCACCATGCCCAGGCCCAGCCGCCCACTGTATAGCTCTTCTCATCAGAGCCACAGCAGCCACCTGAGAAAATAAACACGGCATATTTAGCACAAATACACATTCCACACTAATCTCACTTTTAAACTCAAACATGCTTTCAATCATTTGTGGTATTCTAGAATGGCAATCTAACATTAAAGCGGATACTTTGTTAATAAATATTCATTTTAAATTGTCTTTAAAAAAAATCAAACCATATTTTTCCATTGTAAAAATCTAATTCAGCCCATTTCACAAGTTATTGGTAAGTCACCACTTTCACCATGTAACGGTGGTGACACCCGGATATACACTTTTAACACTTTGTTCAGGTGCCAGAAAGAAATAACTGTCAAATTTAAATTTTCCCAAATAACTCTAAAGCCCCCAGTTACATACAGCAACGAATCACAAAAAAAGGATGCTTTTTTTTTTGTTGCTGAGCAAAACTTTTCCCTATTGGGCAGACATTTTGGCAAAAACTTTCTTTATACCAGAGCTGTACAGCACATACACAAAAAAAGTGTGTAACTTTTAACTTTAATGTGCTATTTATATTTTATTTGACCCTTGATGTAACTAAATGATGCACATTTTAGGTTACCTGAGAAAACATTTTTAACATTGCTGTGTTACCAAGAAATTCTATAAAAAAATACATTTAAATCTAGCTTAAAAACGTATTTGTTTGACAAGGCTTATAATCTGTATTAACACTTTCCTGCCTTACATTTTATTGTTTTTTATTATACTTTGTGTATTTTTAAGTAAATGTGTTTTTGTGTTTTCATTTTTTATTTTGTTGTAAAGCACATTGGACAACCATGGGTTGTAATTAATGGTGCTATATAAATAAATTTGCCATTGCCACTGCCATTTAATACAAAAAATGCAAAAATCATTTTTAAAAATCTCATGCAGAACAGTTCAATTCTTTATAATATAATATAGTGCTGGGCGCTATGACCAAAATTTTATATCACGGTATTTTTCCAAATTAGACCGGTTTCACGGTACATGACGGTATTTTTTTTTCATGCATGACCGGGTGTTAACCATATTTTCTACTGATTGAGAGAGGAAATACTGCAGTATATTGACTTAGAATGCCCTATTTTACTGTCATGATGAGTGAATATTGTCAAAAAATACCACTAAATAGTGACTAAACCCCTAGTATAGTCCCGCCCCTGACGATGATTGGCAGCTTTCCATGTAGACATCGGAAATTCAAATGCAAAAGGAATTGCGATTCCATTTGAGTTTTGGCAGGTTACATGCGCGACGCAGCGAGAGTGAAAAAGCAGACTGGTAATTAATATTGCTATTTAAATATGACAGGCTCGTAACTCCTAAGACATGGGAAATACAGTTGCAAATGGACTTTGGTTTTTCATTTGAAATTTGGCAGTCACTGTGCGTTCGCGAAAGCGAAAATTCAAACGGTAATGTAGGATTTGCAATTGCATTTGGATTGTGTCACAATTTATGCGTCCACATATTGAAAACGCAATTGAAAATACAATTTGCTATTCCTTTTGAAAATTGTCCGGAATATCGTTCCATAATATATCATATCATAAATAGGTTACAACAGGGCTAAAAGCACACCTTAAGAAAAAAATTGCTTTTCACTACGCCGATGATGTATGATTGCAGAAAAAATATTTTTGTTTGTATTGAACATTTATGGAGCAACATATTTTGTGTGAAAATAAATCATACATGTAGTTTATTTTGTTTAAAAATCTTATAAATGTATTTGGTGGCAAGGGGGGCCTTTTACCCTACACACAGTATAAAAGGCTCACCAGCATGGGGCAAAAGGCACACAGTATTGATGTGAAAAACAGCCCCTCAGCATGAGGCTGCTACCAGCACACTTTACTTTTGGGACGCTACTCTGCAGGTGATGAGCAGTGCCTGGTTTCCTTCAAACATGATGCTTGGAATTGAGGTTCATCAGACCAGAGACTCTTGTTTCTCACAATCTGATGGTTCTTTAGGTGCTTTTTTGCAAATTCCAAGTGTGTTTTCATCTGTCTTCACTGAGGAGAGGATTGAGTTTGGCCACACTGGCATAAAGACCGGATCAGTGGAGTGTTGCAGTGATGTTTGTCCTTCTGTAGGTTTCTACTATCTCCACATATGATCATAGAGCTCAACTAGAGTGACCATCATGGTCTTGGTCACCAGTCTAACCAAAGCCCTTCTCCATTGCTCAGTTTGGCAAAGAGGCCAGCTCTAGGAAGAGTCTTGGTTGTTTCAAACTTCTTCCACTAAGAAAAATGGAGACAACATGCTTCTACGAACCTTCAATGCAGCAGAAATTTTTCTGAACTCTTCCCCAGATGTGTGGCTTGATGCAATCCTGTTTTTGAGCTCAACAGGCAGTTCTTTTGACCTCAGGGCTTGGCGTTTTTGCTCTGATACGCATTTACAGCTGTTAGACCTTTTATTGAGAAGTGTGTGCCTTTCCAAATCATATCCATTCAATTGAATTTGCCACAGGTTAACTTCACTCGAAGTGTAGTAACATCTACAAGCGATATGAATGCTCCTGAGCTAACTCAACTTCAACTGTCCCAGATAAGGGTATGAATACTGCAATGGAATCATTTAGCCCAAGTCTTTTTATTTTTAACAAATTTGCAAAGATGTTAAAAACCTGTTTTTTTTTGCTTTGCCATTATAGTGTATGGAGTGTAGATTTATGTGGAAAAAAAGTAATTAAAAGCATTTTAACATAAGGCAGCAACAAAACAAAATGTGAAAAAAAAAAAACTTTCGCAAGGCACTGTATATGATATATTAATATCATATTTTTTAAATATGGTGGTTTCATTATAAACATGGTGATTATCTCTAAGGTGGAAACCCAACTTAATCTATGATATTTACTATCTGAATCTAACCATGTTATGTCAACAAATGGAAAAGTCAGCCAGCTATTTATCATGTTAATTAAAGTGCCTTTTGCCCCAACAGCAGGGGCGCTTTTTACCCCCAAAAAACTGTTGCTTTAATTACATTAACAAAACTGAAAATAATTAAGAAGACCTTTGTCTCAAAATATATTTAATAATTTTAGCTTTTCTCATTTGCTAAATCTACAACATTTTAAAAAACATCAAATATTAGATCAAATTTGCACAGAATCAACTTTGCTCTGCTGCCCGTGATCGGGTCAAAGATCAGTTACATTTCCATGTGCATCTTGAAAAGGGGATGTTTTGGAAAGTGCTACGCCAAGTTCCCTTTCATTGCGAAGCATTCACAGTGGGAACTCCTCCCCTTCTCCGAAATCCTGAAACCTTATATAACACCAGTACAATAAACTGGCCAATTGCCGCTAATTATGCAAATCGCATGCAAATACTGCCAAGCCTGCGGGCAGTGTATAATGCAGTGAGAGCGACATTTGCCTCAGAATCTTCTCCTTCACGCTGCCATCGTCAAAGATGCACCTGAAGTTAAGACAGCTTCTTCACTGCATCTGATGGCTAGTTCGCCAGGGTCCTAGCGAAAGCTGTTAAGGAGCTTGACCTCAACTGGGATGCTACAGAGTAACCTGCCAGGAGTAATCTAAACTCCTGGTACTTCCAGTGGAGCTGTCACCTGGCTGCCTTGAGGAGGAAGGTCCCGTTCTTCCTGGATGTCCACGAGCAGGTGGTGAAGATGTGGTCTACACCCTAGTCGGCACACATCCACTCTTCCACTCAGGCCATGTTCTCCCACGCGGACGAGGCGGAGGCCCATGGCTATGTGTGCATGCCCCCCATCGAGGAGACTGTCGCCACACATCTGTGCCCTTCCTCGGCCATGCTTGGCGCAGACTTCAGCCTGCCTTTTAAGCCTTGCAGATTGACCACCCACCTCGCTGACAAGGCTTAAACCTCCGCGGACGAAGCGGCATCCACACTGTATGCAATGGCGGTGCTGCAGGTCTTTCAAGCTAAGCTCCTGCAGGCCCTGGACAGCGGCGACATGGACACAGACGTCGTGAAAGACCTGCGTGCAGTGATGGACTTCACGCTGATGGCGACAAAACGCTCTGCTCAATCCATCGGTCTTTCCATGGGCTTCATGGTAGTCCTTCACAGGCACCTATGGCTGACCCTAGCTGACCTGAAGGACTCTGCTCATTCCCTCCGGCCTCTTTGGTGACGCCATGGAGTCAGTTATAGAATGCTTCTCTGAGGCGCTAAAGTATGCCGAGTCATCTGATACCCCGTCGCACGTGCCATCCACCGTCTACATCACGCTCCTCTTCTGCACCCCGCTCTGCTCAGAGAGCGGCTAAGCAGCCCACCACATCCTCCATGGTTCCTCGACATGAGCCAGATGTTCGCCGCAAGCAGGGGACGGGACCCAGGAAAAGGCGTCACGGACAGAGGAGGAGCCCACGCCATGACAGCGGACTGCCCTAAGATGCCAAGCCTTCGTCCTGACGGATCGGCCAAGAGGAGGAGAGAGCTCGCTGAAGGCCCAGCACCCAAGCAAGCACCGCATCTTGCATTATGTTCCCCTTGTTCCTGCAGGTGACAAGAAGGTTCACAGCCTGCTTGCACAGCCTCTAATTTGTGGTACCCATGAGAGATGTGGGACTCTGGACCTGAGACCCATCAACAAAGCACTTCACAAGCACACGTTCAGGATGACGACTCTGAAGCAGATCCTGGCACAAATCCCTCCCAGGGACTGGTTTGCATCCATAGATCTGAAAGATGCATACTTTCATATTCAGATAGCAGACGCCACAGATGCTTTCTGAGGTTTCCTTTCGGGGGCACGGCATACCAGTACTCAGTGCTCCCATTCGGGCTGGCTTTAGCCCCATGCACGTTCTCGAAGTGCATAAACGCGGCACTTTCCCCTCTCAGAGTGAGCAGTATGCGCATTCTAAACTATCTGGACGATTGGCTGACTTTAGCCCATTCACAAGATGTGCTTATCAGTGATCTGCCTCAGGAACACCTTCTCCTAGGGGCGCCATTCTCACCCTTTTTATTCGCTGCCATC